GAATTCACCTGAAATTTTCTGCAGAGGTTTTCAGGGTTTACAGTCAGTGTCAGGTGTACAAAGTAAAAATAAATGAGAGCTGATGATTATTATTCACCGAAATGCTAACATCACTGTTGCACTCATGAATGAAAATTGCTGTAAAGAAGTTCTGTTTGTTGCGGTATCAGTTGGACAGATTAGAAGCGGCTGAGTCAGCTGACTGGTTGAACATGAAGTGCTGTGAGAAGGATGATCTGGATGTTCCCAGGTGTTCCCCGTGTCAAACAGAAATGTGATTGTGACTAACTGAACAGCAGCGGCTCACGTAGACGATTGCCGTTCACTAACGCCATAAGTTAAAAGACAAAAGGGTCGGGCTGAGGTCGGTGTGGGAACTGTTGTGATTTACTGGTGCTGCTGCTGTTGGTTTTTATCACCAACATGTGTCCTCTAGAATAAGAAGTAAGACAAAGAAAATAAATGATTACTTATTGTTTTTTTATTTATTGATTGATTAGGTTAAAGTAAATAAAAACCACCAGAGATTACATACAGGTTAGACTTCATTGTGTTTAAAAAAGTATTTTCAGAAAAATCAAGAACATTAGTTGATTTTGTAACAATCTGTAAGACTCAATAATTTGGAATAAATAATACAAGAAGTGACAGAATTATGAATCCCTGTATTACACATCTCTTCTGGAATTTCGAGCCATTATTATTTTATGGTTGTGTCATCTGCTCTGTTTCAAGGTTCATCTTTAAAAAAAGCAAATGTGACAATATTGGCCATGACTGTATTGCCTTCCCCCATTTATTAATAGTAATTTTGGCTTATCCCATATTAGTACATAGTTTGTTTTGTGTTATTAGTCTTAAGAACCACATGCTTTAACTAATTTATGTTAAATAAACATATACATTTGGAAGTTTAAACAAATGTCACATGAAAAGTTTAGTTGTGTGTGCTTGCCTCTACAAATTTAAATAGCTTAGTTTAGTGTAAACACATAATTGGAGCGTTTAAAAATAGGAAGAAGCACTCGCAAACGATTGAATTAAATTCGTCGTCATGTGGTGAGAAATGTTTGCACCGATTATTTTACCAGCTGCACGTTTCTGAGCAAACAGAAAGAAACAGTGTGTTTCCTGGGAGGTCCTAATCTGCTGAAGCAGCTGGGAGCGTTTGACCACGTGACGCGCGCGACGGTAGGACCGTCATCATCATCATCATCATCATCATTTCACCCAATTCATGTCCGGGCACAAACGACAGAAAGGTGCGACAATACGGGAAAAGAAAAGGGGGGAACTAGAAAGGGAAAAAAAGAAGAAAAAAGACCCGGTGTCGTCCTCCGACTGCTGCTTCACCGCCTCACAAATCAAGGTATGTTTCCTCTACGCTCCCTTTTATATCGTTTGTTTTGCTTTTTAGTCTTCGTCTTAGCATCATGTTTGATATCAAAAACAAGTGCTGATGAACGTTTCGTTCGCTTTCTTCCACCAAACGTCCCGTTTTTTATTATTTATTTTTTGTTTTTGTCTCCCTCTCTACTATTAGCCACATCGCGCTGCTTGTTTATGCTAACGCACCGACGCGGTCCCGTGTTTTGTCTTCTGGTAAAAAGAAAAGGGGAAAAAGTCCAGTTTCGTTCGGGTAAATGCAAGCGTCGACGCTAAGCTCAGAGGACGCTTTATCCGCCGTGTGGAGGAGTTTACCGAACCCGGAGTTCAGCGCGGTTAGCTTCTGGCTACATTTTACAATCCGGGCTAACCTGACGAGCTCACGCGCGGCCTACAGATGCTCACGCGCTGTCCCGCAGCGAGAAGCTAACACGGTTTGGGTTTTTATAAAAGTTTCGGCGACTTTTTGTTCATGTAAAAAGCAAAATTCGTCCTGGCCTGTTTCAAAATGTAGATCTGTGTTCGTCTCTAAGTTCTGAGTCAGATTTAAACGGGAAGTACAAAACTGAAGTGGTGTTTACGTCACGTTTAACCAGTAAATTATAGACCAAATAAGTGATTAGATCCACATCTGTTTCACACAAAACTGCTCAGCAACACTACAAACAGCTGCCTCCAGAACCTCAAAGCTGACTTAACAAAAATATATCAACAAGGTCAGGGTGACAAGATGTTTTTCACATGGTTTAAATACTCTCACAGCACCTCATTAAAGTAAATAGTAAGTGAAAGCAAATGGACTACAGATTTGTGTTTTAAACTGAAGATATGATTCTATGTTTGGGTAAAACATGAACCCTATATGTTTTTCAGGTTAAATTCAGGTAGGCCTRGGCTAAAATTGAGCCTTACATGAGAAACAAGTGTTTCCTTGGCTCAGCAAATCCAGAACCCTTCCTCCTGCATTTTAATGAGCGTTTAAAGCAACTGGGGCCCCCAGGAACCTCAACCAGCCCAGACCTGGCTATTAGCCTCAAACACGTTTTTTTTCCCCAATACACCTTTTTATTCTTCTAACAGTTGTTTGTTTAAAATACAAGGTAGATATGGGAGGAGCTTTTCCCCCACCTTCTGTTAGTTTTGACGTGTGTGTGTGTGTGTGTGTGTGTGTGTGTGTGTGTGTGTGTGTGTGTGTGTGTGTGTGTGTGTGTGTGTGTGTGTGTGTGTGTGTGTTGGATTGAAAAGTTTTGGCTCAAAGGCTGTGCAAATGAACATGTTTCACTCTCCCTGAATGCCAGACAGGCATTGAAAAGGAGATTGTTTACATTCAGATGCTGGCCACCCGCCGCTGGCTTTTTCTACCCTCCTGTTTTCCAATCACTGAGGAGACATGACCCATTTAAACGGTTGTTTACTTGCATTAGAAGAAGGGCCAAGACGTGCTCAATGAACTCTTGTCTACAATTTAATTAAGAGTGGCCTTCCCAGCAGCACGATTTTCCACATTACACAACACTACCTGCAGTGTTGCAGCTGTGCAGTCAGGAACAGGATGACCAAAGAGCAGCAGTGACACCTGCACCACCAAACCCTGCTTTACATTTGGATGATCAGTGCTATCTGAATAAAATGAGTTGTTGCCATAAAAGAACAGAATTATCACTGAGTCATCTTGGGTGCAGTTCCTTTTTTATTAAACCTTAGTGTATGATATTTAATAGTCTGATTCCTCATTAATAAAACAGTATAAGTGCTCCATTACAGCTGTGATATATTGTAATAGGTTCAGTAATTTATGCAATATTCATCAGGCTTTTAACATTTTTGTGGACATGAAAATATTTCTTCCTCAGCATAGCTGTGACCCAATAATTTCCCGTTGTTTGTGTCTTTTTTTATTATTAAAGATCACCAAACATGCCTAAAAACAACTACATGGCAGCATTTCTTAAGTTTACCTGGGTCAGTATGTCAAGCATTTTATAACAGGCACTAGATGAGTAATAGACGCAGGTCATCATGTTATCATTCCTTATCACTGGTTTATCAAGAAGTGTTCAAGAAGCACAACATGATAACATTTTAAAAAATGTTTGTGCACTCTATGTGGGCGGGGGGATCTAGATTATATTAAAACTCTTTACTGGATGAAGCTAAAAAAAAAGACAAGGAGAATAATACCAGCTTTGTTATAATTGATAGAGAAATAGGACATTTTGGAAATTTTAGTGGAATGTTAAGACAAATTTTTCAGGATGACCCGATCAGATCGTCCCAATTCTGAGGCTTCAGAAACAACTTTTGGGTCAACAGATTGTCATGAAAGTTGCTCAAATTGTAGAAAATAGTTATTAAAATAGTTAATAAATTTATATCTACTTTTTATGAATATGTGACTTTTTTTGATTGCTGCAATCTGAGTCAAACCACCTGTACCAGTGATCAGGGATTGTTACTTTAAGCTGTATTATGGCAAAATACATGTATTAGTTATGGTGTTATAGATGACAAGCTTTACAACACTTAATTGGTCTGACATTTGGTAAACGTGTGTTTTTAATGCTTCATATGTTTAATGAAAATGTATTGCGAGCATGTTTGTAGGCTGACATCTGTGATGTCATCTGAGAAATCACACAAATTCAATTTGTCTTGCCTCTTTGTTTGCTTTCTGAGAAAGAAGTCCCAAATCTTCCAACTTTAAAGCACAAGTTGAGAGTTTTATTAGAGTGAATGTTAATCTGCTCTGGTAGTGGTAAATAATTAAATCACCACTGTGTGTGTGTGTGTGTTTGTGGTAAAACTCGGGACAATTTCTCAAATTTTTGTCTGTTTTTGATTAATTCAACCATAAAAATGTTCTGCGACTTCCCGCAACACTCAAACCTAAACTCAACACTATTAGAGCATTTAAAACAGATCTGTAACTAAATTTGGACACGTTTATAAGGACTGTGTTTACATTAAATAAAATCTTTTTATTAAATGTTTAATTTCAGCCAGACCACCTCATTCAGTCTATAATCCAATCTATTATTATACTTACTGTAATCTTTCCTATCTAACAGACATTTTACAAGGTAACAGAAACTTGTTGATCTTGTCTGTCTTGGTTGGCTTGACATTACAGCGAAGTGATGGAAAAGAAAACAAGGTGACACAGACATGTTTTTCAAAAGTACAACTCAACACTGAATTAAATTAGGAGGTGAATGAATTCTGATACAGTTATAACTTTACAAGCTCTCTTAAATACTTTAGAAAATCGGGACATGTTTTCTAGCATCAGTGTAAATCTGCTGTATGTTTGTGTTTGTATGTAGGATTGAGAACATTGTGTTGTTTTTTTACTACTCTGAGAATCACATGAGAACAAAGGCACTTTAAAAGCCTCTCACAGGCCTGAGGCTAATCATTTATCTACCATTTAAGTAGTTAAAACTGTACTGAGCTTCTTGTTAAATGTGTACATGTACGTCCAGGAAATGATAATGTCATTACTGCTGACGTACCATAATGTATCTGTTAGGTTGGTACGGATTTGATGAGTCTAAATTAGGACATAATTTGATGAAGTTGTTTTTTGTGCTTTTTGTACTCTTTAGGTAGGTAGGCCCTAAACATAACTCCTCTCACCTTGGTGGCCTGCCTTAGACCCAGGACGATCCACTYGCATCTCAGGCTACAGGAGCACGGTGGAGAAGGTCTGAGGCCRTCTACTCCCCCCGTTTGTTTTTTAGGAGGGGGGGAGGAAAAAGAGGCGGAGGAAGGAGGAGCTGCTAGAACCACCTGGAGCATGGGGCAGAAAGTCCCGGGTGGCATTAAAACCATTGACATGCGGGATCCGGCATTCAGCCCCCTGACGGTGGAGCTGCAGGCCCTGAGTCACACCAAGCCGTCTCGACTGGATCTGCTCCTGGACATGCCGCCTGCCAGCCTGGATGTCCAGGTGCAGCACTCGTGGAACAATAACGACCGCTCCCTCAACGTGTTTGTCAAGGACGACAACAAGCTGGTGTTTCACAGGCACCCCGTGGCGCAGAGCACGGACGCCATCAGGGCGCGCGTTGGCTATACAAGGGGACTGCACGTGTGGGAGATCAGCTGGGCGATGCGACAGAGGGGCACGCATGCGGTTGTTGGGGTGGCTACAAGTGACGCCCCGCTGCACTCTGTGGGCTACACCGCTTTGGTAGGAAGCAACGCAGAGTCCTGGGGCTGGGACTTGTGCAGAAGTAAACTCTACCACGATGGCAAAAATCTGCCAGGAAAAACCTACCCGGCCTTCCTCGAACCAGACGACACCTTCATAATCCCAGATTCCCTCTTAGTAGTGCTGGACATGGATGAGGGGACTCTTGGTTACATAGTGGATGGACATTATCTTGGTGTGGCGTTTAGAGGACTGAAAGGCAAGAAGCTGTACCCAGTGGTGAGCGCCGTGTGGGGACACTGTGAAATAAGAATCCGGTACATAAATGGACTTGACCGTAAGTATAAGATTTTAATAGTTTGAAAAATGTTTTTCATGAGCTGTTAAGATATKTAACTTATTTATTTACAAAGTAAAGAAAATATAACGCTTTGTTCTTACATCGAAACAGGACACATTTTAGCAAAGCAGCTTTTGTTTTATTTGTATGACTGACTGTTATGTAAAATGATGCGTCATAACACCAGATTATCCTTATTCTTGCTATGYCGTTTAAACCACATAGACATCAACAAATGTGTCTTTTACCTGCTGCTTTAAAGGTCTAAAATTTAATTTATTTAAAGAAAAGTACAGTAACACTAAATAGAGATCGCTCAGTAACTGTACTTTGACTGCTTGTTTAACGAGATTAAGAAGCTTCACAATAAATACTAATGTGTCTTAAAACAAGCTGCTTTCACTCCCAGAGATTAATGTTTAGTAACTACAAATAAATTATGGTTAGACATTGGTGAAAACTAGGGGTGCACGATAGTTATCGGCCCGATATCAGGAAATTATGACGTCGTACTTATCGGTCCGATATCATAACAAACAGAACCGATAATATATGTATATGTTTGCCAGTGCGGCGGTGAGTGCGCWCCTTTATTTTTATCCTTTTTGGTAAAGCCGCTTCCCATCCGGCAYGACCCGAGCAACGTTCAAGTGGCGTCAGAAAAAATWACYTTCTTACTAGAAAAATAATTAGAAAACTCCGTGCTGAAAAACAACCAGTCATTTTAAGAATTATTAAAATGACTTATTTTACCAATCAACCCTGTGTATTACGCACACAAACTTTATAATTATAAACATAAAAAGGTCRGAACTACTCCCARTTTGAGAACATGTAAAGTCTGTTACCTCCTGAACGCAGCACAAAGTCCGTTCTGCTAAAATGCTAACAACAACAAGCTAGCGTGCAAGAACTCATAGGGACTTAAATCATTGCTGAGGCTTTTGACAAATCCAAACAAATTGCCAGAGAGGACACAGAWCTCAAGCAATTWAATGATGGAAATGATGCCAACCAGTCATTAACCCTCACTAAATACCGACGCTTTTACAGTATCTCCTTGATAGCTACGGTTTACCATGCTGAACAGCCGCTACCTCTCTGTGTGTCTTCCTGTAAGTATGATGCGGTCGTAATGTATTCACACTCTCAGAAGCATTGTTTCAGGTAGAAAAATGTTTTAAWTCATATTAATAATATTAAAAACAAATGTACTTTGAATCTAACTTATTTTAAGAACCAATACAGATAACTTTCTCCTAACGGCCGATAACTGATAACATGCCAGGGGATGAGACTAGTCCAAAATGGGTAAGATCATAACATAATTAAACAAAACCAAAAAAAAAAAAAAAAAGTAACTTATTTTAAGAACTGATATTGAAAACTTTCTCCTTCTAACGGCCGATAACCGATAATAACTGATAACATGCCAGGGGATGAGACTAGTCCAAAATGGGTAAGATCATAACATAATTAAACAAAACCAAAAAAAAAAAAAGACACTAAATTATATTATTTGAAATAAACTCTWAGCAAACAAACATTTCTTAAAGTATATCAAACAAGACAATTTCTCAAATGGCCATTTATTTTAAATAAGGCACATTAATTATAAAAAAGACCTTTAACACTGATYTCAGATTTAAACAAAAGAGTCATTCCACAAGTTCAAAACAGATAATGCAYTAACACAAGTTATCGTGCATCCCTAGTGAAAACATGAGGGTTCAGTGGAGAAACAGAAGTTTTTATCAAACTGTCCCTTTTGCACTGTGCTCATTAGATTTTTATGTTCAGCTCAGATTCCTTGACCTACTTTCTGTCTTGTTTCAAGAGAAGCAGCACAGATGACAACATACTCACACAMAGCAAGACAGCTTCAGCTTGATATGACAATAATCTAGTTTCATGTCCAATCTGAATTAGTCCTGCAAGATTTGGTTGTTCAAATGCAGCACCTCAGTGTGACTAAACCCTTGAAGCTTTGTGTGTATGTGTGTGTGTGTGTTAACTCGTGCTCAACTCTTCCTCCTAATCATCAGTTACAAGTCATGTAAGAAATGTGTTTCTCCAATTCATTTTGTTTTGTCTCTGCCTTTTTTAAATAGGGATCAATTTATATCCACTACCTTTTTTTWAAATAATTTAAAATCAGATGTGTGCACACATTTGAAACAAGACTGCCGTTTCAAACTGTCCTCACCCCCTCTCTCTTCTGTCTCTAGCTGAACCCCTGTCACTGATGGACCTGTGTCGACGTTCAGTAAGGGTGGCCTTAGGAAGAGACCGTCTGAGTGAAATCCATAGACTACCCCTGCCGGCGTCTCTCAAGAACTACCTGCTCTACCAATGACGACAACGCTGACTGTCACAACACTCAACCCTCCTTTTGTTTCTTTCTTGTGTTTCTCTGGGATCGTTCTTGGGTTTAACCCGTTTGGCAGCATTATTCAAACCTCCAGCGCTGATTCAGCATGTACACTTCACYGGCAGTGGGTAGACTCCTTTTGCGTTTCTTGTTTTCAATATCTTATTGCGACTGTATTCTCTAACTTTGTAAAAAAACAAACAAACAAAAAAACAAGTAATAATAATCAGGAATCACTGAGCACTATGCACACGCTGATCCAGTCGACGCCCTGACAGCCACCTCCAGTTTGAAGGTTCATTTGGCATAAGTGGTCAGTGCCTCTTTGACCTCCAAACCTGTTCATTTATGCATTCCTTTCGTGTAGCCTTCGAATTTAAATATGCTATGGCAATTCTGAGGTGAACACTGAACTTTTAATGTTGACACGGTCGTGCACTGCTATTGTCAGACCACAAGGTGGCAGCACACTCAATGGCAACAGTGCTTCGTCTCAAATTGAGCGTTATATGTAATAAAACCCTGTTTTTAGAAAAGAGTTTTAAATGGATCTTACACAGAAGAGAGATGCTGACTGTTCCACAGAGAGCTTTTCAGTGCGGTGTGGATGCACTGAAGCAGCTGAAGAGCAGCACCGACCACTCACCGCACCATCAGGTTTCTGTGTGACGTGGAAGTGTCCCGTCTCAACATCAGCATTCTTTAACAGAAAGATAATGTCACTGTGATTATTTGTAGCATGCATCTGCAGGAAAATTCCCAACAAACGCGTCCTTTTTTTGTTTCTTTTATAGACTTTTTGTCACTTTTTTTTTTTAAAAGTGGAGTAGATTTCAACCGTATGCTGTTGAGGTCAAGTGTTTTTAAACTCCCAGAGTCTCTCCAATGAGCACTGGTTTGCACATATTAAACCAGAGGAACGAAAAGAACCAGTGTAATTACTGGTGAGATACCTGAGAACCGTTAACATTTGTGTTTATGAAATGTAACAGATGGACTGGGGATTTGGGAAGTGGTCTGCGTTGGAACTTGCAAACGTTGGTTTTAAAGCACCGTAAAAACGACAATCTACAAAGTGCTGCACAAATGTACCGAAAGAAGGCCAGACTRCCAACCTTTTGTCAAATGCCATATCCTAATCTTACGGAAAAGGTTTTAAATGTTTATAAGTGATGCACATTCAGCACTCAGTTGGATGTGGATACAGTGCTACACGTTCCTTTTTTTTYYCTTTTTGTTTGTTTTTGCTTGCAACTTCCACCAGATTTGTATTCCTTGTTGTAGATTTGTTTCTAAGTATCTATTAAAGTTTATTTCAAATTATCTGTGCATTCCTGAACTGTTGTAGTCAGACTTGTCATTTAACCAGTCCTGCTCAGGTATTCTGTTAACTTGATCTAGGGCAACAATTTGTATTGATATGTAACATTTTGTTCAAACTTTTTTTTAACTAAAAACGACCTGCAGCATGTTTTACACGTTCCATTGCAAAGGTTTGTCTTAAGTTATTTTTTAAGCAATGTCTTGACAGGTTTCTAAACATCAAAACTAGGCTTTAATTTAAGACTTGGGTTTTATTTTACAACAGTTCGATATGTCTGTAGAAAAAGCAGAAATGTTATTCCTGCAGTAAATTACAAATTTTTGCTTCTTTTTTGAGGGTGGTTTATTAAAATGAACTGGTAATACATTGATACTTTTAGGGAAGAATCAAAATCCTGTTTCAACTCAACGTTTGTTTTTAAATGCTGTTTGAYTCCTTTTAGTGCATCTCATTTATCAAAGATGACAACTGTCAAAACAGGGAAACTGATAAAACAACCTGTGTTGTCTAACCTGTCTGACTTCAACATTTTCCATTAAGTGATGCTGAACTGCTGCTATAGCTCAGCTAAAATGTTGTATGGATAATCATTTCGATTATCTTCTAAGGTCTCAATAGTGCATGTGATCACACAGTTTTTACCAAAACCTCTAAAATGCTCTCACTTTCCCCAATATAAAATGACTTTAGTTTTAAATGATTATGAAAGGCAATACTAGGCTTTTATTTTGTAAGTCGTGAGTATTATGTGATGCTTGTCATCTTTTAAAACTAAAAATCCCTATATCTGCAGTGGATAACAAACACTTGTTTAAACTTCACTTTAATATTCATTACAAGTTTTCAGAACCTATGTTCAGAAAGTCAAAAAGTGGAAATAAAAACTCTTTCCAAAACGTACATGGCAGGATAACATATTTTTAAAGTTATATCTTAATGAACGGTTTTGTGATGATGGACAAACAAAACCTAAAATAGAGATGCTTACCCATAATGCACCATCATGTTTCTTTAAAATCAAGCATATCAGCACAAAACCACCAGCGCAGTTAAGCATGGTAGTGGCAGGATGATGATTTGGGTTTGTTTTGCAGCCACTGAGGTGACCATGATTTCCCTGTTTTTCTTTGGTTAAATAAATGAAGACGTGCTGGAGTCAGAACTACGTGTCTCTGAAACATGCATCAGAGACACGAGGAAGCAAGTTAAAACCGAAGCAGAGGAGTGGTACACAGTTTTAGATGTTAGATCATTTACGCAGGCTTAAATTAGATGGGTCATGTTGGGCACGGCTGACGAAATTAACACCGATAGCTTGTTATGTAMAAGGGGACACTGTTTTGCTGGCTCAGTTAAAATAGTAAACATGTAAAGAAAATAAACAAAATTCTGAACTTGACATAAAATAATTCCCGGTGTCTGTTTTCATGTCAATACGTTGTGACAAAATACACTGTTACAGTTTCAAACAAACACTGACAAAATTGTTTTTGTCATGACTCAGATGTTCTCACTGCACAAACAAGTTGTTATCAAGGTTGCGTACCTGTAGATTGAACTGCATGGAAAGTTGGCTGATTTGAAGTTTTGTCTTTGATAGCATTCAGTAGTTAAGTTTTTAGTCATAATTCTAGTTTTTGTTGATTAGTAATTTTACTGTTTTTTTTTAAACTATGCTGTTTTTCTTTTGCTTTTCAGCTTGTTTCCAAAGTAATTCCAGGTAGACAAACAGATTAATGGAAGAACTCAAAGCTAATACGTCAACAGGAGAAGAGATAAGCTCACGGTTCAATGTGTACTCCAGTGGAGTGTGATTAGCCTTGCAGCATTATTTTTCATGAATCAAAGAAGGCCGTTACGGGGCTGGAAATTTCTATAGTACTTATAAGTAAAATATAAACTGATACAATGTAAGATTAAACAAAACTGCAAATCTTGTAACTTGAAAATGCTTGCTGATCCATTTCTCATGTGGGGAAAATAAAACAGTACAGTAAAAACATGCTTGGAGAAAAAAATTCTGAATTTGACATTGAAAAATTAATTGCTTGGAATATGAACCAGCTAGTGCAGATAACATGCAGAATTAAACAAAGAAGGATGAATATGTAAAGTAACAACAAAACTGCATTAAAGGTAAAAACTTAGATTAATTAGACAAATATTATTTTGTTGATAATTCTGTGTTGTGTTCAGTGTGCTTGTTTTTTTTTTTTTTTTTTGGTCCCTGAACTGGTAAAGTTTAGTAGTTCCAAAGACTTCTTCGGTCGTTATTTATTTATTTATTTATTTAGTTAGTTAGTTAGTTAGTTAGTTAGTGTTTGGAGTGTGGGCAACTTTCTGCAAAAGGACAAGGTGGCGTGGCGCATGTGTTCCCGTCACGGACAACACCCCCGTCCGGCCCTTTGACGTAATGACGTCATGCGCTCTTACGTCACCTCGCGGATCTACTCCTCACGTTCATAAAGACAGACGCCCAAAGGAGGCGCTTCACCGGCCGGTGTCGTGCGAAGCAGAGGAGGACCCTAATGAGCTTCGGAACACTGAGTCACTCGGTCTTTCATTTTGGCTGAACGCGGTTTTTAACACAAAGCTAGTAAAAATCATGGTGGCTGCTTAGACAAAAGAAAAAAAGAACTAAAATGTTTCAAAAAGACACGCTGCTGCATCTCTTCGCCGGGGGGTAAGTCACTGACTATCACTATGCTAACGTTAAATAATTACTGACATTTAATTTAATTTGAAAACAAWTATCAAACATAATTAGCGGGCTGTCTTTTCTAAGCAAATATTCTTAAATTTTAATTAATCGCGTTTATAACATTTTCGAGCATCCGGCCAATAAATCTTGTGAGGGCTAGCTCGTGTTAGCGCGGCGCGAGCTTTCAGACGATTATTTCGCGTTAGACTAATTGTTGTTTGAATTACACAAACCGGGGAAGAAACGCTACGTTTTGTGTGCTAAATAATAACGTWTCCCGGCCTTGGTCAGGTCGTGCTGGACAAAGACCGGCCGGCTTCAGGATTTCTTCCACGCGGAAGTCTGCTAATCTGTTATCGCCGCAGCTAGCTAGCAGGCTAACACCGTTTCTTGTAGATATAGTGTCGGGTGGCTCCTTGTTGGGAGTGACTGCTTTATGCTTTAATTAACGCGTTTTAAAAGTAACTGTGTATGTTTCAAAATCTAGGATAGGCCTTGTCTGCCGTCGTCACTGACTGGCTTTAGTCACGGGTATAAGAGTTAGCTGTTAGCATCTGGATGTCCTTCACTGTTACATAACAATGAACCCGTTAACTGTGGGGTCACAAGTCGATACCCTACCAATTTATATTATTTATGTACWTCTGATAATGTATTATTACGTGGATTTATTCCAGAATATTTTAATAAAAGCTACATTTTTATGGTTTAGGGTTTATCGGTTGTTGCGTTGTTAATCTTATGGGAACAGGACTTTCACAAATCAGATTTAGACAACAAAATCAGTCTTGCTATAAACTACTTTAAACATACTAAAAACTAAAACACAAATGTGTCATTCAGTACAGTTAATGCTTTGTAAACTGCGGTCATAGAAGAAAGCCAACACGTGTGCAGTAAAAAAACATGGTGGAGGGGAAAGACTGTTTTGTCTGACCTTGAAGGACACAGGTTTAACTAGTCTGAAATTAGGAAAYGTATAAGTTGTAACCTTGAAGCAGAAAAGCAATTGAAGTTGTCTAAATTTCTTCTGTTTTATCATTTAAACTTTTACATGAATGTGTTTATGCCACACGTATTTTTCAGAACTGCAACTTGTGCCCACAGTAACATAGCTGTGTCTGGGTGTTCAGGAAATATTTAAAAAAAGTTTCTTATTGAGCATATGCACAGATCAGCATAATAAATATTAGGTTTATGTGTTCCTTTCGTAAGATGTTTGGCTGTCCTTCAGATGTGACTCTGTATAAAGATGTAGTCTAATCCAGTGTTTCCCAAAGTTGGGGTCGGGACCCAAAGTGGGGTCCCGAAACATCAA